GATAATTCTAATAACACTATATATAGTTTGGGTACTTTTTAAATAAATTCTAAAAATAACAGTGCTATTACAGGATCAATTACAAATAATTTAATTGATAAATGTGACGGAACAAATTTATAGAGCCAAAAAACTATTCAAAATTTCTCAAAAAACAGCGGAGAAACAATCAAAAATCAAAAAGAAATTTGAAAATGTTAATTTTTTACCTAGTTATGGTCCAAAATGGGGTTGACCCCACTTGTAAATAATTACCATATTCAAATTTTGAGTGTCTGTTTAGAACGACAGTCTCCAATAAGTTAATTGAAATTTTGAATCTTAATAAAATTTTAATTAAAGACGAAAATATTTAGAATTAATTTTATAAAAAAATTTTTTGTAAAGTAAATAGTTTCTGGAATATATATGAAACAATTTTTAAGATTGAGATTTTCTTCCTCAATATCCAAATTTTGAGTTGCTGTTTAGGAACGACAGTCTCTAAATTAATTGAAATTTTAATTAAAGACAAAAAAATATTTAAAACTAATTTTTTAAAAAATAAAAAAAATGTAAAATCAGGCTTTTATATTTCAATGATAAGCTGATGGAATTGGCTTTTTCACAAACTATAAATATTAACAGTTGGTACATCAATATGAAGATAAACGCAGCGTATGCTGGCACGTGCCAGTTTTAAAAATAAATGCATAGCAAGAGAAAGGTATATACTGTGTAATGTGATAATGAACAACTCGTGCAATGTTTACGTTAAAATGACTCTCTCTTTCTCGTTATCCTCATCCCTCTTCCTCTCGCAAAGCATATCAAGCTTATATTTTCATTCGCTGATGGTTGTTTGTGTCCGTGGCTTTTTTTTCCGCGTGCACTTGAAATAGAGTACTGTACAGCACAGTATATAAAATAAAATAAAATAAAATAAAAAAAACATGTATGTATGTTCCAAAGATAAAGGCAACAATGTATTAGCATTTCATAGCACAATCTTATCTGACTATTAGAGGTGATAAATGTTTTTGTTTGGCGGGTAAAAAAAATTCAAGTCAAAAAGTTACATATATGTTGTATGGTTAATGATAATATAGTGTTTTGCGTGGCATTAGCTCGTACCCGTTTAGATTTCTTTATCATATATGTGTGTGTGTGTGTGTGTGTTAGAATATACTTGCATATGTGTGTATACCTTTCAATTGACAGCCACCCCCTGTTCCGTGGCCGTTGATCGTGATCATCCCCTCGCGTTACTCGGGCTGCGGTCAATTAGTCATTCATGCACGCGATATAAGCATTGACTTGGCATTCACTAGCGTCACGTTCCTTCCACACTGAACATTTATTTAAATTATTCGACGCATCCGTGCGTTCTACATGATGCTGCTCACTCCTGTAATAATAAAAATCATAATCATAATAAGTACAATGTGTATATTAAGGTTTTTAAATTATTTAGGGTGTGACAATGACTGCGAAACGTATAATAAAATCCTGGCACCCTTGGGATTCATCACTCTAATTGACTGACTTTTTTTTTTTATTTTTAATGCCTTCAAGCTTTTCTTCTCGTCTGAAAAAAATTTTGTAATTAATCCCATCATTTTTAGTAGATTTTATAGAAATTTTATTTGTCTTCATGTTGTAACTTTTGAAAAATTTTGTTATTTTCTGATTCAGCTCATCGAGCTTGCTCAGAAAATACCACACTGAAAAAAAAAATTCTTTACTAGAGGATAAATTTTCTTTACTCAAGAAAATATTACATGGAAAAAAGAAAACTCGAAAAATTACAGTATAAAATATTAAATCGGTCCCATCGTAATCAAAACTTGAAAAATTACAGCTTGAAATAACATTTTTCTAAATTCAATTTTTTAATTTAATATTCAAAGCTTTCAATGTAAATATATTACATTCTACAATGTAATTTTTATAAAATCTGTAATAATTACAATCTGAACGCCACGTTGCCTTATATATATGTACTGTAATTTTTCGAGTTTTCTTTTTTCCATGTAATATTTTCTTGAGTAAAGAAAATTTATCCTCTAGTAAAGAATTTTTTTTTTCAGTGTGGTATTTTCTGAGCAAGCTCGATGAGCTGAATCAGAAAATAACAAAATTTTTCAAAAGTTACAACATGAAGACAAATAAAATTTCTATAAAATCTACTAAAAATGATGGGATTAATTACAAAATTTTTTTCAGACGAGAAGAAAAGCTTGAAGGCATTAAAAATAAAAAAAAAAAGTCAGTCAATTAGAGTGATGAATCCCAAGGGTGCCAGGATTTTATTATACGTTTCGCAGTCATTGTCACACCCTAAATAATTTAAAAACCTTAATATACACATTGTACTTATTATGATTATGATTTGAAATGACAAAATTTTTTTGCAATAATTTTAGAAATTACAACTCTTAATTAGGACATTATTTTTCTGTAAATTTCATATGAAAGTCTACTGTTGCACTCATTTTTCCATTTTTATTTTTAATTAAAATTTATTTTTATTTAAGTCAATAATTGTTTCATCCTTCAAATTACTGTAAAATAATTCAGACTAAAATCTACTTCTATTTCGACATTTTTTTAAAGATAATTTGAATAATATTATTTTATTAAATTTACCTGATTGTTCTAAGTATAAAATAAACGTTCAAGGTCTTGATATTTGGATTTCAGATTTCATTTTAATAATATTTTTCACAATGCGAGAAAAAAAAATCCCGGGTGACCTTTAAAATGGTCAACGGTAGAAACAAGAACAAATATTGACAGTCCGAAGTAAACAGCGCGATGAGCCGAGTAGAGAGTACATATAGATTTTTAGGAGAAATCATAAAAAAAGTCGGCAAAAATGGTCATGCGTTTTTTGTGAAATATGCTCGACAATGACTCTCTTCGTTTTATTTTTACTGTAAGGTTTAAAAACAGAACAGAAATCGGTGTATGCTCTTTAACTTTTTTTTACCATCTTTGGGTTTTTTAGCTGGCCGTTTTTATTTTTTCTCTCAGATGGTTATAGATATATAAATCCAGAGGTAGACCTCTAACTCAGCAGACTCTGGAAAGAAGTAAAAGACTGTAAAGATGCGAAGTGGAGGTGTGGTCCACATGGATCTCTCAGATGTATACACTCTCTCCTTTATTCCCTAAGTGGTCTCGCTTCGGCCCGTTTATAATGACAGGCTACAGGGCATGACTCAATGCCCACGAATCAGCTACTGGATCTGCTCTGAGCTTTTGACCGCACTGAATTTTACAGCTTTCTTTTTATTTTATTTAACTCCACTCGTTTCTTCTTATCTTATTCTTTTCTTTTATTCCAGACCTTCTTTTAACGCTCCCTACACATCACCTTTGTTTTACTTTTTGTCTTACACCATCGCAGGACAGCCCTACGCCCAATGACAAGGCAAATTTTTCGGCTCATCAACTCTATTTTTCAATATTTCAATCTGTTGAACAAACATCATTTTATTATATCAGTTAATTTTTATACTCAATAATTATTTTATTTAATACTTACAAATATAATTATTTTAAATTTTTAATAACTTATTTTTGAATTAATAAATTATAACTCTTGAATTTTTACACTCAATACTTCACACACTCATAGGAGGATTTATTTGTATTAAAAAATTATTTTTAATAGTTAACAAATCATTTATTAGAGACCACTTTTTAGTATTAAACAAGAAAAGTTTGAGCCAAAAAAATATTTTTCTTCCTAGTTATTTTTTTGGGCGAAAAAAATTTTTTTTTGACAAGAAATTTCACTTATTCAAACTAAATTAATTCTCTTGCTTTAAGAAATACGTATCTTGATCCAAGAAAATTTATTTAAGTCAAGAAAATCTTGTTTTGAGAAAATTCAGCCTCTTGCTCCAAAAAATTAACTATAAAGATAGAAGTAAATTTTCATTAATATTTTTATTGACTAACATGTCAAATGGGAATTGTATCTCGTGAACTATTGACATTTTTAAAGATATAAGCTCATCCTGATGTCACACTCATCAAGACCTTTCATTTGAATACCCACATCATTTTTTTATATATTTATATATATTATATATATGTATATATGAAAAAAAATATCAAAATGCATGTGGGTACTCAAATGAAAGCTTATGATAAGTGTAACATCAGTATGAGCTTATATCTTAAAAAATGTCAATAATTAAGAAAGTGCATTGTATTTTTTCAACTAATGACATTTTTAAAGATATAAGCTCACCCCGACATTACACTCATCGAGACCTTTCGTTTGAGTACCCACATTAATTTTTCATATATTTCATATATTTATATATATATATATATATATATATATGTATATATGAAAAATACATCAAAATACATGTTATATTATCATATTTATATATATATATATAATATATGTATATATGAAAAATACATCAAAATACATGTGGGTACTCAAATGAAAGCTTTTGATGAGTGTAACATCGGTATGAGCTTATATCTTAAAAAATGTCAATAATTAAGACAGCGCATTGTATTTTGTCAACTAATGACATTTTTAAAGATATAAGCTCACCTTGACATTACACTCATCAAGACCTTTCATTTGAGTACCCACATCAATTTTTCATATATTTATATATATTACATATATGTATATATGAAAAATATATAAAAAATGCATGTGGGTACTCAAATGAAAGCTCTTGATGCGTGTAATATCAGGATGAGCTTATATCTTTAAAAATGTCAATAGTTAAAAAAGTACAGTGCAATTCCCCAAAAGTCATTATTTAATAAAGCTAAATTTTATTTAGTTATAGATAATAATTTACTACAGTCACGTAGTCACTGCAAGGTTGCTAGTTCATTTTCAATATAAATACTATAATTATAAATTAACAATTAATAAGAAATTTTTAATTTCTCAATTAAAAAATATTCAAATGAAATTTTTATCTAAAAAAAATTTGTTTTTCTTCTTTTAAGTCATATTAAATATAAATACTCACGTCATTATCAGAAGTACCACAAATGGAGCAACATTTGCACTCGATACACTGCCACCTGTACTTGCGTACAGATACAATCATATTTGCAGTAAATTGCAAACAAGTCGGATGTCCTACAACAATAATTTCACATGGTCAGGATAGAGTGTAGGATTACTGGAGCAGGAGACTTGACTGGAGGGCCAGAGCAGAAAGGTGCCAGGACATTTATCTTGTGCCGAAGAACAGTGAACTCCAAGCTATTTTCGCATTACTTATTTTTTTTCAAAAATACTTTCAAAATTTTTAACAAAATTCAAACCGGTTGTCATAAAAAATTAAGTTAAAACTCAAACACAGACATTTATCCCTGTGTTTCATTAAATAATTAGCAACAATAATTATCGCGATTAACTATGTATTTCACCTTTCCTCAGCACTAAACGTCCGGAATAATGAAACGCTATCATATTTCCGCACAAAGTATTTTTATTTTTCTTTTCTTTTTCTTTTTTTTTTTTTTTTTCATGTTGATAAATTATTTTCATTTATTATTTTAAAAATTCGTCGACGTTGCGTATTTCATTTCGAGATATAGATGGTTAAAATAATTAGCAGGGCGTACCTTGGAATAGTTCACGTTCTTTCTTGCGCAGCACAATATAAACGTCGCAAGTCACACTCTCTCTTTAGCATACAAAAAAAATTATCAATATAATTTTTTTTTATTATCTCTCTTATAAGTCAAAGTCTCACACACTCACTTTCAATAGATTGCTTAATATATAAATTAATTATCCTAATTAATCTACTTACAAGTTACAAATATTCTCGCTAAGCATCTTAAATATTGTTCAATAAAAATTACCTAACAACAAGTCTTTAATTTATAATTAACTATTTTTTTTCTAGTATTTTTTTTTTGTCTATAACAAGTTAAAGAAGGAACTAATTTTCCAGAGGAAAATATTTTTAATTAATATTAAAAACTATTTTTATTATTTATTATTATTATTATGTTATGATTACTTGGTTCATTATTTTTTTTAATATCTCTCATTAAAATCCGAGAGTAGTTTGCGTGTGTATACAACATTATCAGGCAAGCTCATCGTTATGATACAATTAAAATTTATATTTGATTCCCATTACATTTATTTAGATACATTAAATCTCGCATTGATATTATTATTTTTTATCTTTATTTCGACGGTAATTATATGACCTTTTTTTTTTAGTAAGGCCTTGGAGATATTTCAATTTATCGTTATCATTTTTATGTAAATTAATAATAATAATAAAAACACATGTGCGAATAAAAAGTAATGGGAAAAATATTAAATTGTAAAACATTTTTAAATATTTAAAATATCAAAGCTTATAAAAATAAAACTATCAAATCTAATCGTCACATATTTAAGATTAGATTTTGTTTTTTTAGTGATTAAATAAAATAATTGTAAATTAATGCCCAATAATAGCTTGGCGTAAATTAAGTAAAATTATATTACTTAATATTTTAAATATTTTAGTTAATGCGCTGATTAATATTAAATAATATTTGTTTTTTTTTTTTAAACAATTCAATAAGAAATTTTTTTTTTGTCAATGATACTTGTATCATATTTAAAAATTTTGTACGCTTATAAATTTAAATTTGTATAAAAAATTTCTATATTACAATATTAAATTGTGAAATCACAGTATTATTTTTTCATTTATAAAAATTTTATCATTACGTATGTATTGTTTTTAATAAAATAAAAAACATAATTGCACCATTGACAATGTTTTTGATCTTGCTGCCATGACTAGTGTATCATTTATAAATTTACGTAACTATTTTATTTGCATAAAGCTCATTTTTAATTTTAAATAAAATCAATTACTAAAGAAAAAAAAATTTAAGCAATTCTCTAAATAATATTAAAATATTATATAATTTTACTTAAACCACAGCCTGGTTAATTATTAGCAAACGAAATCGCGGTTTCTAAAAACAACTACAGCTTGTCTATGCCTTATGATAAACTATGCATTGTTACATTTAATTTATGCAATATTTCAAATTTATTTTGAATTAACTAACACTGGCTTGATAATACTTTGAGTAGCCTGATAAAAGAAAAAAAATATCCATGATTTTAAAAAATATTTTATATTAATTTTAAATTTTTTTATTGAAAAAAAAGATACTAAAGTTTGGATAAATTGACAGATTTTAAAAGCAATAATTAAATTGATGCAAATAAAAATTATTTAAAAACAAAAATTTTACTGTCAATAACGGTTTGTGGAGTTGCTTATAATTAGCGTGAATTTGAAGCTTACCGTTTAAATGCTAACTTAAGTATCATAAAATTTAATTTGGTAAATATTTACAAGCGGGGTCCATTTTAATTTTCATTTTTTTGAACGAAATTTCTATTTGATTTTATTAATATTTTTTTTTTAAATATAAAAAAATTGATTACAATTTTAACAAATTTTCAAAAAAATTTATAGATTTTTTAGAAAATTGTGATATTCAACTTTTTTTTTTTTTAATTATTTTTTTCCAAAAAAAAATATATCAAAAAAAGATAAAATAAAAATTTTTTCCAACTTTTGAAGACAAAAAAGCTATCGAAATAACAATAAGATGTTATTGCAACCTTAAAATATACCTAATGAAGTTGGAAATAAAGCCAACGAAACGTTGCATTTTTTAAAAATTTAACATCTTATTGTTATTGTCCACGTTTCCAAGATTTGTTGTCTAATATTTCGTAAAACATGGATGAGAATCTACAAAGTAATTTATTTTTTTCTTTTACGAAATTTTTTATCATAAATAGAAAAAAAAAATTTGAAAATAATAATGATCTTGATTTCTTTGGACTATTGTATCAATAATTTTCAATCTGCGTAACACTGATGTTTAAATATTAAAAAATGTCTAATTTGCGCTTATTTAGGTCCTGGCTAACGATAATATGAAAGGAAATTATGAATGTAACTCTGTAGAATTAGTTAATTTATGTTAATACATGTTAAATTATAAGAATTAAAATTTTTAATTTATATAGATTTATATTATTACTTATATTTTTCACTCTGTCGAAATCTTCTACTTTATAAAATTTAGAAACCCTATTATTGGCCCTTTAGGCTGTTGGATTAAAATAAAATAAAATAAAAATGCTAATTTTTCACCGAGTTATGGCTCAAAATGGGATTAACCCCACTTGTAAATAATTACCCTTAATTTTATCACCCAAAAATTTTTTTTGGGATATTTTTTAATAAAACCAGGTACTTTCTATAAATTTAAAAATAATCAAACCTCGTAACAATGCAGAGTATATTATAAACAATTAAACAGAAAGATAAATAGCCTCTATATATAATAATAATAATAATAATAATAATAATAATAATAAATGATAAAATAAAATAAAATAAAAACTATCTAATAAGCACATATAAAAAGTAAACTAATAGTGATTGGCCCTTCTCGTGTACTTGCGCTTTTGAATTTTCTCCAGAGTCTCAGTCTTACCTGATCTACCGCAATCACTGCAAGAGACCAATTCCTCGGACCCGCCTGTTTTTTTATTCTCCCTCGCGTCCCCGAGACAGAAATCGCAGTAGGGGGATGGTTGAACAGCTTTTCCGGACTTCTTGTCAAGGACTAGTCCAGGTGCGGGAAGATTACCACCCATTTGCCCAACTCCAGTGCTTGCAGCACCACCACCACCACCACCGATGAGTCCCAATCCACCAGCAGTGCCACCGATACCACTGGAGATGATGTCTGGCCTGAGCGATGACGGTGATGAAGAAATGGAACCAGGCGAAGTAACTGGGATCTGATGCTGCGGCTGAAGCTGGTGCTGATTCTGCTGCTGTTGCTGGTGCTGATCTTCCTTAGGAGCTGAGACAGTAGGTGAGGCTGGAGCGGCACTCGTCTGAACCGCTGGCGGCAGCTGTTGCTGCTGCTGCTGCGGCTGAGGCGGTGCCCCGGCAGCCGGGGTCGTACTTGCCACAGGGGAGGGACTCGAGGTACTCGACGAGGCAGTTGTGCTCTGTCGACCCCGACGTGTACCACCTAATCACAAACCGACCACATACCCAGTTGCGCTTTTTGTCACTATCCAACAATCATGCACTCGGCTCCACAACAAATCATTTTTTTTTTTGCTCTTACATTCTCTGATTTCCCTTACGCACTCTCATTCTTAATTTTTTTTTTTTTTAATTTTTTTTTTTTAATTATTTATTAACAATTGATTCCGTTGGTTTCAAAAATTTTTAATTAGAATTTTTAATTAAAAAACAGTAGCAAAAAATTTTTTTAAAATAATTCAATGAAATTTAAATTAGAAAAATTAATTAACAACGGAATCAATTTTTTTACAAGCAGGAACGACCCCACTGACACGATAAATAATAGAAAGTTGCATTAATAAATTCAAAGAGCATTCCATCACCAACACCAATGTTAATAGTGTATAAATATAAATTTATAAAAAAATTCCCAAATCCAGTGTTCAAAAGAATACGTAAAATATTTGTTTTGATTTTTGTTTTTTTTTTTTTTTCATTTTTTTTAAATAATTATTTTTAAATCTGATATATTTAATCTAATGTAAATATTAATATATAAATGTATATATTAAAAAAAAAAAAATGCGTGAGTCAGGCAGGCGACTTGCAATAAAAGTCGCTTAATTTCGTGTTTAACGTGCTCGAAGCATTCAGCATTCGCGTGCAAAAATAAAAAAAAAACAACTCGCTTCTAATAAAATGGAGTTACGTAAAAGCAAACGAAGCATTGATTATTTAATTTAATAATTCTTTGTTTGTTTTTTTTTTTTTTTTTTTTAAATCCATATTCTGTAAAAGTCTTAATATCTATTCTCGTTGCATCCATTGATCAGTTACTAAATACATGCTTTAAAATAATTTTATTTATTGTTTTTTTTATTTCGACAAAATTAATAAAAATATAATTATTGTAATAATGAAAAACACACATACTTTTTTTAACGCTTTATAAAAAAAATTTTCATTTCTATTTATTTTATTTTAATTATTTAATTGAAATTAGAAATTTTATATATAATATAGTTATAATAATATAATTATAATATTATAATAATAATAATAGTAATAATAATAAGAAGAATAATAATAGTATTTGTTATAATAATAAATGTATGGTGCTGCATGCCATTGCAAACTAAATGACATAATTTAAAAAATGAAAAATAAAAAATAAAATGACAACGCATTAATTTATTTCTCACAATATTATAATGTGTATGCTCAAAGACTGGCCGAGTGGTTTTTTCATTATTAATCGCGAGATAATCCCCTCATTCGTATCTTGTTATCTGGTAAGAAGACTTCCAGATATCGAAGGCGTCTCGACTATATTCTGCGGAAGTACACGAGAAATAACAAAAAATATGGATTTTTTGTTTTCTTTTTCTTTTTTTAAATATTATTTAAATATAAATATATATATTTAACTATCTTAGTCAATAAAATCTACTTCAAACAATTATTTTGAGGGGGTGCAAAAAAACATAACTCGTTAACTCTTTGGTCAGTGAATGCAACGTGATACTTAATAACAAGCGTCTAATTATATTATATATATATAATATGAAAATTAAAAAAAATAAAAAAAAAAATAATTTTGTTTTATATATACACGGAAAGAACAAGATGACACTGGATATCATCCCAGATTATATTAAGTGAAAAAAATTTTCAGATAGTAGATAGTATAATCTGGATTTTTTTAACTACTATCTGAAATTTTTTTATGACAGTAAAGTTAGCAGTAGAGAATTTTTTAATTTTTTTTAACAAACAAATTTGTTCCAAAAAATAATTGCATTTTTTTATTTTTTAAATTTCTACATGCCAATTTTTTTTCTTATTTTTTTTTTGCCATAATTTATTTATTAAAAAAATTATTTAATATCTGCTAAATTTATTCTCATAATTTTTTTTCACCACAGATATCACTGAGTATAATCCGGGATGATATCCAGTGTCATCTTGTTCTTTCCGTGTAGATAATATATAAAATAAATAAAAAACAAAAGTTAAAGAAAAAAAAGACAAATCAAAAAAAGAACTAAAGAAATATAGAGACAATCTTATGAACACAAAGATTTAAAAAGTAGTATACATGTATAGAACAATAAAAATTAGACAGTATATTATTGTTTTGCAATGCACACGTTTTACATATTCTCTTTTTTTTTTTTTTTCTATTTCCCTCTCTCTCTCGTTCTTTAGCTTCCAATTTTATAATTTAATATAACAAAAAAACTAATTAGTAAAAAAATGATCAAGTCTTTACTAATCAATGTAATTTTAATTTTAATTAAAATTCAAATTTAAATTCAGTTTAATAAAGTAGTAAATATTTATTGAATAATTAATCAATTAAAAAAATCTATACGGATGGCTAGGCATGAAACGTTTAAAATAAAATTTTAAATTAAACAAATTATTTCATCGGACTGTTGGACTAAAAGTAAGGAAGAGAGATGGGAATTACTTGTTACTTGATTTTTTTTTTAAATCTTTTTTAAATGATTTGTTTTAGTTATTTTTAAAAATGTTTGTTTTAGAGAGAAATGTCTTATTAAAGGAAACTGCGATAACTGAGCTGATTTTGGGTCCAACCTGGCTGGTCCGAAGCAGCGGTGTCTGCAACGCTCCGTGATTCGACTTCGGCAGGACTGGGACTTAGTTCCTTAGCAGGATCACCAGAGGAAGTAGAGTGGGAATGACCGTAATGGTAGACCAGACCAGGTCTGGTTTTATACCGTGCGCTGCATACTGCAAAAGTGCAAATACTATTTTCCCCCAAACCATCCAATGCAAAAAAAATTTTTTGTCTTTTTTGTTTTTGTTATTTGTTTTCCTTTTTATCAAGGAATTATTTTAAAAACTGATCAAAAGAAAAAATAATTTTTTTTTTATATTAAAATTTTTTTTTTTTTAAATTAACGGGTATTTTTTTTTCGGAAAATAAAATTATTGTAATAGTAATAGTAAATAATTAATTAATAGAAATAAGGGCGGGGGATTTAATTAAGGGGACAAAGCTCGAAGGTACGAAGAGAGCGTTTGCACACCGTTTTTTTCTACTTTTACTATTGCTCGAATTTTTAAGCATTTAATAATTTTTTTTTTTTTAAATAAAATTTTTTTCTTTTCTATCTTTTTTTATTTATTTTTTTTTTGGTACTTTTTTTTTCGCCACTAATCCATCCCTATCCTAATGTAAAATATATATATCTATATGTGGACAAGCAGTGAAGGAAATTGTCAGCCCAAAAAGCAAAACTAATACAATGCAAGGCTTGAGATGCTTCGTAATACACCTACTTTAAATTATATAATGTATATCAGCTCGCTACAGAGTGAACCTATTACATTCTTTTTTTTAATTTAAGATTTAAGATTTTTTATTTAAGATAATTTAATTATTTCATTTAGTATTATTTAATTTAACCGTTTGTTTAATTAATATTAACTAGTTGTTATTTTAAAATAAAAAAGATTAATTCAAGTCCGAAGATATTTGGCCCATGTCCATAAGCTGATATTAAATATGTGACACTTTAATTTATTATATTAATTTATCTAATGGCTCTATACACAGAAAGAAAAATTTCTTGACTGGAGAACAAAATTCTTGGAGAATAAAAAGTTGTGTTGGCCGAAGTAAAAATTTTTTTTGAAATTCTATTCTTGGTGGAAGTAGTTTTTTTTTAATTAAAATTATAATAAATACTTGATACAATAAATTTTTATATTTGATCAAGATTTTTAGATACTTTAAAGAAGCAGCGCTACCTACTTAAACTGAGAAAAAAATTTTCTCACCCTGAAAAAATTTTCTTCTTGAATATTTGATACCCATTTTATATTATTTTAACGTGCAATTATACATATTTAATGAAAAAAAATTATTCAATATTATTTGATCTTCCCATTTGACATGTTAATCAATAAAAATATTATTGAAAATTTACTTCTATCAAAAACTAAATTTGTTGGAGCAAGAAGCTAAATTTTCTCATAACAAGAAAATTTTCTTGGATCAAGATACGTATTCCTTAAAGCAAGATAATTAATTTCGTTTGAATAAGTGAGATTTTTTGTTAAAAAAAAATTTTTTTTTCACTCAAGAAAATAATTAGATAGAGAAATATTTTCTTGGCTCAAGTGAATTTTTTTTTCTGTGTATTTGACTAGTAATTAATTAAAGAAATTAAAAAAAAAAATTAAATAAAAATATAAATAAATAAAGAGCTTATTTTTTTTTAGACCAAATGTCTTTAGATGATCTGCTAATTATTATATAATAAATAAATATATATGAAAATAATAACAAGACTTGTACGAAGAATTAAACAGATTGCAAGCAACATACGAGTTAATCTATAAGGACCGTTGTTTTATATATTTATTTTTAAAGGGAAGAAACGTTAATTTAATTAATTAAGTAAATTACTTTGTGACTGTCACTGTTCTTCGAGATAATTTTACAAAAAAAAAAATAAATAACTTCAGTAATTATTTTTAATTATAATTTTAATAAAAATATACATTTGTAATTAAATTATTAAAATAAACCTAAATTGGCTGATCATAGACTTTTTTTAAAACTTAACAGAGATAATTAATTATAATCTTTTTTTTTTTTTTTTGGTATTAAAGTTGTGAAATTAGTGTTTGTCTAATGAATTAAAAATGTATTCTGATATGAACTTTGGTAATGATTTGGCTGTTTAAACTCGAAGAAAAATTGCAGCCACTTTATACGAATGAAATAATAATTAAAAAAAAAAATAAATAAATAAAAGAGAGAAAAGATAAATAATACGGAATGCAAGTTAATGGAAAACCTATGATAATAAATAAGAGGATAAAAAGCTCCTCGTGTCAACACGCAAGTGGATGACCGCTTCCTGTCGTAATATTTTGTATCACTCTGTTTTATATCTTCTATTCACACTACAGTCATTTAATTGATTCATGATTAATAATGATGATGATAATAGTAATATTAATAATAATAATATTGGATATTATTATTATTTATAAAAATATTTGATCGAGCCTTTGTATATATTTATATATACCTACTTAAATAATCAGTGTACCTTTACGCGGTTGATTGTAGTTATGAAAAAAAATATATAGTAGTAATAATTGTAGTAATAGTAATATTACTTTTAAATTACTGATAAATGAATTAATATCTTTAAAAACGCAACGCGCGTTATTGTTGTGTGGCTTAGTGGAAATAATAAGTGGTAAGTGAACAGTATTTGCAAAAAAAAAATGGAACAAGTAAGAAAAAAGTGGTCATTTGTTATATCGATGATTGAACTTACGGTCACATACGAATGGCTTATCGGAATCAGTAACATCGTAGTTGGCTTTTTTCCTTCCACGTCCACCACCCTGAAAAATTATTATTTTATTTTATTTAAATTTAAAAATAATAATATATTATAAATATTAACTAACAAACTTGCAGTCACTATGTGACTGCTGGGACTTGTGAATGATGAATAAATAAAATTTTGCTTTATTAAATGATTACTTTTTTATTGTTAAATTGCACTGTACTTTCTTAATTATTGATATTTTTAAAGATGTAAGCTCATCTTGATGTTACACTCATCAAGAGCTTTCATTTGAGTACTCACATGCATTTTTCATATATTTTATATATTTCATATATATGATATTTATAAAATATATCAAAAGTACATGCCGGTACTCAAATGAAAAGTCTCGATGAGTGTAACATCAGAATGGACTTATGTTTACGAAAATGTTAAAAATTAAGGAATGACTGTTGCATTTTGTTAATTAAATATGTTTTTAACGATATAAGCTCATTCCGATGTTATACTCATCAAGAGCTTTAATTTGAGTACCCACATGCATTTTGATATAT